CCATTTATCACTCTCACCATACGGTACATTAAAAACTATCATTGCTTCTGTTCTATTTTAATTCCTTATTGAAATCTCTTACATTGGCCTCTCTTAGTCTTTGATGAACATTTAATAAGACAAGTTATTTTTGTCTCATTTTTATTTATCTATTACTTACAAGTCTACCTGATCATTAAAACTACGAAAGTACTTTTTGTATTATACAATAAAAATTCTTGCATAATTCTCTTATTCTATTAACCTTTCACGTACATTATTTACAGTGATTAATTATCAAAAGTATATGGCAAAGGGCAATAACTCCTCTAAGTAGAATACAAATTAAAAGAGCCCTTGCCAGGACCAGCATACTTGACAAAATGGTCCAGATGTTCAAAAATCTGTTAAAAATACCCTTCCTTATTAAAACTTTTACTCTTTTTGCCCCTGATATGTCCAGGTGCATAGAAGATTTTTAAAGAAATAATGCATTTTTACCACAGATTCACTATATTATCAATAGAAACCCCCCCCCCCTCCCCACCGATAAACACAAGAGCCTCTCACCCTGGGACCAAACGTTTGCTCATAATAAGTAATCACTTTGTTTATCTGTTTAACACTAAGGAGAAGACAGGGTTATTTAATAGAATTAATGCATTTTCACTATATTATCAAGAGCCCCACCCTTACACCAGCAAATCTGACCCAGGGGTCATGCAATTCACTACTCTGGAAGATGCACTCTTGCTCATCATAACTATATACTTAGCTTCTTTGCTTTTTAACCAGAAGCAGAAAAAATATTTTCAAAGTTTTGCTATTTCACTATATAATCAGTAGAGCCCCTCCCCCCTTTTCACCAGAACCTTTGACCCGGGGCCATAATATTCACAATTTTGGAAGAGACATCCTTGCTTATCATAACTATGTATTTAATTTGTTCCAATAATACCCAGGAGTAGAGAAGATTTTCAAAGAAATAATGCACTTTCACTATATGATATATATAGCCCCGCCCTAGCACCAGAACCCCTGACCCTGGGGCCATGAATTTCACAATTTTGGTAGTCACCCTTCCTCATCATAACTATGTACATGTGTATTCAATTTGTTTCAATAATACCCAGGAGTAGAGAAGAAGATTTTAAAAGAAATAATGCACTTTCACAATATGATCTATATAACCACGCCCTAGCACCAGAACCCCTGACCCTGGGGCCATGAATTTCACAATTTTAGTTTAGTCACCCTTGCTTATCCTAACTATGTATTCAATTATTTTCAATAATACCCAGGAGTAGAGAAGAAGATTTTCAAAGAAATAATGCACTTTCACTATATGATTTATATAGCCCCGCCCTAGTACCAGAACCCCTGACCCTTGGGCCATGAATTTCATAATTTTGGTAAAGGGCTCAATGCTTATTACAATCATGCCAACAGTTTGACTACTTGATGTCCAGGAGTAAAGAAGAAGATTTTTTAAGATTGCATTAATTTTTGGTGGTTTTAGCCCCACCCATCAGGCCCGGGGGGGGGGGGAGGCAGAGACCATGAAATTCACAAATTTTGTTCCCCTTCGCACATAGATGCCATATGCTAAAATTGGTTCAGAGGTTTCAGAGAAGAAGCTGAAAATGTTCAAATGTTAACACACGACGGACGAAAACAGATAGCAATAGGTCACCAGATTGACTCAGGTGACCTAAAAATATATCAAATCTACGTTCATGTTTAAGTAAAATGAATGTTTAGCAGTGTGCGCCAAAAGCACTAGCCTAATGCCCAAACACTAGTAAAAATTCGGTCAGGCTAGTAGAATGCAGGTCGGCACTAGTCTGATAGAACTAGAAGAATTTTCAGTTCTATTTATCCATTTTCATCTAAGTATTTTAAATAATTGTCAAACAAAAATTATTTTCTTATTGAAATTTTCAACTTCTTATCTTTCTGTCCTTTCTTGTTAATTTATAGTTTGTTGTTTACGGTCGCCATGTTGAAACACCTTATGAATGGGAACAAAAAGTTGACCGTCACTGACTTCAAAAAGGTCTGAATTACAACACACCTGAGAGTTTGATAAGTGTCCAGTTGGCTATGACTCAGTTATCTACAAACATATTGTGATGACATATTGTTTAAAGTGCATCAGACTGCATCAATGTGTAAAACAAAACAGTTCAATTACAGGATCAAGTAACTGACAACAAAATGACAGAACAGAGGGTTCATAAAAATATTTTGCCATTGCTTGCCCACAAATATATATAAACATGTACCATTTACATTATATATCATGCAAAACATCTCGTGGGGACCGGCGAACAGTCTCAAGAGCGAATCGTTAATGGGAGCAAAACCCCCAAAACAACAAGAGGCCCATGGGCCTTAACGGTCACTTGAGTATAATACATCAATTTAGAAGTTAAATACACTGATAGATGAAGCTTTGTTGCCCTAAAGTAAGAGAAGTAGGAAGATCAGGATCAACAAAATAATTAGTCTAGTAATTAGTATCAACTCATAACTTAAGTTCTAATCTGTCCCCACTTAACACTATCACCATGCAGACTATTAACAAACTATTAGTGCTTCTGTACTATTTTTAAACCCATATTAAGACCTCTAGCATTGACCTCTCTTATGGTCTTTTCAGAACTTTTAATAAGATAAGTTTTTTTTTTCTCATTTTTATTTATCTATTACTTACAGGTCTGCCTGATTATTAAAACTAAGAAAGTACTTTTTGAATTATACGATAAACATTCTTGCATAATTATCTTATTCTATTAACCTTTCAAATACATTATTTACAGTGATTAATTATCAAAGGGGAATGGAAAAGGGGAATAACTTCTCTCAGTAGAATACAAATTAATAGAGCCCTGCCCAGGACCAGAATGCTGAGACAAATGGTCCAGATGTTCAAAAATCTGGTAGAAATACGCTTACTTATATCATTTAAACTTTTACTCAGTTTGCTTCCGATATGCCCAGAAGCAGAGAAGAATTTCACAGGTACAATGCATTTTCACTACAGATTCAACAAAGCCTTACCCTAACACCAGAACCCAAGACCAAAGGTCAAGAAATTTACAAATTTGGAAGAGTTACCCTCATCATCATAACTATAGATTTAAGAATTAACACTTTTCCACTATATTATCAAAAGCCCCCCCCCTCCTCGTTATGCCAGAACCCCTGACCCTAGGACCACAAGATTTAAAAATTCTGTTCGATGCTCCCACTTTCATCATAGCTAAGCAATTTATTAATCAGCTCAACACTAAGGAGCAGACAGGATTAATTAATGATTTATTAATAGAATTAATGCATTTTCACTATATAATCAATAGAGCCCCCTCCCCCCCTCCCCAAGAACCCCAAAAACTGAGGCCATATATTTAAAAATTTTGGAAGAGGCATCCTTGCCTATCATAATCATGCACTTTGTTTAAATAATCTCCAGTAGCAAAGAAGAAGATTTTCATAGAATCAATGCATTTTCACTATATAATCAATAGAGCCCCGCCCTAACACCAGACCTGACCCTGGGGCCATGAAATTCACAATTTTTAAAAAGGCATCCTTATGCATCATAACCATGCACTTAGTTTGTTTAAATAATACCCAGGAGCAGAGAAGACGATTTTCAAAGAATTAATGCATTTTCACTATATAATCAATAGAGCCCCGCCCTAACACCAGAACCCCTGACCAAGGGGCCATGGCTTTCACAATTCTGCAAAGGGCCCACCTCCTCATCATAACTATGTACTTAGTTTATCACCTTAATGCCTAGGAGCAGAGGAGAAGATTTTCAAAGAATTAATGCATTTTCACTATATAATCTATAGAGCCCCGCCATAACACCAGAACCCCTGACCCTGGGGCCATGAATTTCACAATTTTGGAAGAGGCACTCTTGCTCTTCATAAGTATGTACTTAGTTACCTTATTTAATACCCAGGAGCAGAGAAGAAGATTTTTAAAAGAAATAATGCACTTTCACTATATGATCTATATAGCCCCACCCTGGGGCCAGAATCCCTGACCCTGGGGCCATGAATTTCACAATTTTAGAAGAGGCACTCTTGCTCATAATAACTATGTACTTAGTTACTTTATTTAATACCCAGGAGCAGAGAAGAAGATTTTCAAAGAAATAATGCACTTTCACTATATGATCTATATAGCCCCACCCTGGGGTTCTGGGGTCATGAATTTCACAATTTTGGTAGAGGGCTCAATGCTTATTACAATGATGCCAACAGTTTGACTGCTTGATGTCCAGGAGTAAAGAAGAAGGTTTTTAAAGATTGCATTATTTTTGGTGGTTTTAGCCCCACCCCTCAGGCCTCAGGGGGGCAGGGACCATGAAATTCACAATTTTTGTTCCCCTTCACCCATAGATGCTATATGCCAAATTTGGTTGAAATTGGTTAAGCGGTTTCAGAGAAGAAGCTAAATATGTTCAAATGTTAACGCACGACGCACGCCGACGGACGAGAACGGATAGCAATAGGTCACCTGAGTGACTCAGGTGACCTAAAAACAAAAAATTGGATCAATTCATAAACAAATATTTCTTATCATCCACTTTTGTATTACAATCACAATATTTGGGAAAGGTGTAATGTCGCAAATATGACTGCATGAAATTTTAAAGCTGCACAGTCATGCGCACTCTAATTAGACTTGGCCTCGTTAAGCTCTACAAGTAAAGTTTAACCCTTTCGACGCCAAAGCGACATAAATGTCGTTTACTGTGTCAACGCCAAACCGACAAAAATGTCGCTTTTCAATAAATGTTTTACTTTTTCTTTTATTAACCATTTATCTTACGTGTAATTAAACACAGTAATATCTATATTTTAACACACGTATAGGACTTTATTTTTGTATATGTACTGGTCTTAATATGACGTCATATTTTCTTACGTTACGTTACGTTCTTACTTTATGACGTCAGTTTAGGAGTGAGTACGCTAGCGTTGTAATAAACAGAGTAAAGTATGGCGCACCATTCCGACATAACTTCTGACCTAGATTCGGACATAGTTGATTCCGATGATGATGAAGACAATGAAGAATTTACTACATTTCGAGGTCCGTGGTTTAATGTAGTGGATCCTAACTCTTTTATCATGCCTGACCCTGATTTCAGGGAGGAAACAGGACCCGTCAGTTTTTATCCTGGGATGTCAGCTTTGGAGTATTTCACAAAATTTCTCCATTATGAACAACACGACATTGTAGATATTCTTGTGAGGGAGACTAATCGATACGCCGATCAGGAGCTATCAAGGAGAAGCAGGCCCCCATGATTTTAGGTCCGCATTCCAGGTTCCGTGATTGGTGTCCTGTAACTCGAGATGAGATGTTGGCTTTTTTGGGCATCGTGTTGAGCGTGGGAGTAGTGAAAAAATCAACTTATGAATCCTACTGGGAAAGTAACACACGTGCGTGGTCAATGGAAACTCCTAATTTTTCCAAAATTATGGCTAGAAATCGTTTTCAAGCCATACTGCAGTTTCTTCATTGCAATGACAATGCTATTGCAGCAGAACCTGGTGATATTGGTTATGACCCTCTACACAAAATTTCACCAATTATTGAAATTTTGAACAAAACCTTCAGCCGAAATTACAATTATGTTTTCATTATACTACATGTACATGTATATAGCATAAATCTTTTTTATCACGAGGAGAATAAGCAAATTGAAGTTATAAATTAATGTGAACAGAATTTTCTTACATATATCTCTGTATCCAGCCTCTTTCTGCTGTGCTGCTATTATTATTATAATTTTCTATATGTAAGTTTTTCACTGAATATTATTGAACCAGTTTCAGACAATTGCGGATATGTTACAAAACTGGCATTTTCACGAGTATCTTACTTGTGGTTTTGTACATCTTCCATTTGTGCCTCTGGTAGAAATGATTAAAATTCTAACATATTATGATATTTCAATATTATTTAAACGTGAAATGATTGTATATACTTCCTGGGGGCCCTTGATTGGTGAATAAACATAAACATATATAAAAATTTGAACGTCAAATTTTTAATGTTGAACACAGTCATGTGATTGTCCTGAATCGAAATGACTTTTTCAGTTATCCCCCACTTTTAAGTCAGATGTTGTTTTTTTTTTTTTTATTTTCTTTTAGAGAATTCAGTAAAACTTACAAATGAGAGCTTCCTGTTGACACTTGTATTTTATCCTGTTAGGATTTTCATTTTTTTTTTCAAATAAAGGCTTAACCGGGATGTTTGCGTAGATGAAAGAATTGTAGGGTTTAAAGGAAGGCATCAACTCAAGCAATACATCTCAAATAAGAAAGCACACAGATGGGGGATCAAACTTTGGGTGCTATCAGACTCCACTTCTGGATACACTCATCACCTAAACATTTACAAAGGCAGGAGAAATGAGCGACGCAGTCCGAACGGACAAGTAAGTGCTTTTGACAGAATAATAATAGTTGTAACTGTTACGAAAGTATTTGACACGATATTTCATTTATATTTCCAATGCAGTGATCCTACAAGTATTACCGGCTGTTTGTTTGTTGAGTCGCGTGCTGATCTTGTGCGGGTGGTCCTGCTTTTCTGTATTTTTTTTCAAAACCCAAGCAGCATGCTTTTCCGTGAGTACTTTAGTAGGCTTGTCCGCGAGAACTTAAAACTGCTTTTCCACCAGTCGATTTACATAGGCTTATGAAGATTTGAAATGTCTTTTCTGCGATTAAAATAACGACAGGTAGAAATACTCTGTTCCACGTCTTTTTTATTCTTTGTATATTTTGCTATACTGGGATTTTATTTCGAGGAATCAAACAAACAGCAGCAAATTTTTATTTGTCAATTTATTCAATACTTGGAATACATTTGGATTAAAAAAATTAACTCAGAGAAGTTTTAGGCAGACCGCATTTTTACAAGTTAGAGAGTATATCAATTACATTCAGACACGTAGCATTTTTTACCAAAAAGGGTGAGTGCAGCCAGCCAGAGAACCATTTACAAGCAAAGGGAAGGTGCCTTGAAGAATTTACCCCCCCCCCCCCAAAAAAAAACAAAACAAAAAAGAACACTAAGTGAAAATCACCCAAACTCGTATATGTTGTAGGGCTATCAGGCAGTAATGGACTTGATGGAACCACATTTCTATAAAGAGCATCATATCACTTTCGACAGTTTTTTCACCAGCCCCAAACTGGTATATGATCTCTTGGACAAGCAAACTCACAGCACAGGAACAGTGATCAAATCTCGAAAGGATATGCCTTCCAGTTTTAAGAACGCAATAATGCAGAAAGGAGATGTTAAGGTTAAAACACGTGCTGGAGTAATGGCTGTTCAGTGGGCAGACAGGAGAGTTGTATCTTTGTTGACCACTACTGGTTCCGCGAGGTAACTAAATCTAATGTATCTGATGAGACTGTAGCTCTGTTGGTTTGTATTGAAATTAAATACTGATGAAGAAAATTTTCTCCTAGGTTTGTAATAGTTTTACATTACTTTTACCTCTTAAAATTCAGAATCTTTATATGTATTCAAATGTTATTAAAATCAAACGAAAAGTATGGCTAGTTGGATTTTGAAAGAATTTTACACCTTGTTATGTTTATCATGTAATCGCTTCTCATCAAAAATTGATACATGTAATTCACTTGTTTATAAAAGTAGTTACATGTAGTACACTTTTATTCTAAGTTTATCAAAATATTTAAAAAGATGTCAAAACTGTAGGAGGAGTAAAGTTTAAAAGTGTTACATATTTATAGGCAGATACAAACAACAAATGGAAAGGGTCGTGAAGTTTCTATCCCTGCCATTATAGACACCTACAATCTTGCGATGGGAGGGGTCGATCTCGGAGATCAACTTATTCTCCAATTTGAGCCACAGTTCAAGAGTTTAAAGATGTGGAGAAAACTCCTATTTCACTCTCTTGTAACCGCAGCAGGTATATGTTTTGACTTACACTTCCATGCATACAAAACATATTTTATTAAAGCTGTTCGGAATGTAAATTGTTGCAGAATATTTTTATGATGTCGAAATGTTTTTATCTTAAAATATCCTTGTAGTATATGCCTATATTTGCTATCGAGATTCCTTCATTGTACAATACAAAATGGACCATCTGAAGTTTCACCAGCAGCTTTGCCAAGAACTTACTGGGGGTTTTCGACAGGGTAGCAGGAACAGACAGCTGCGTATAATACCAGTCCAGCACAGAACCTTGGCAAGATTGTCTGAGAGGCACTTTCCGTCCAAAATACCAGATGGTAACCGTAAGAGATGTGCTGTTTGCGCGGGACATGGAGGCGGATTCAGGAAAACAAGAATTCCATGGTGGTGTGAGGACTGCAGGGTCGGACTCTGTGTAGAAGGATGCTTTAGGAAATTTCACACGAGGATCAATTTTGAGGAGTAATTGGAACACAGATATGACAAACTATTACTCTACTCAAAATAAAACTGCCTTGTGTTTAATCTAAGTGTGGTGTGTGTGTGCGAGAGAGAGGGCGACAAATTTTTTATTACCTATATTTATATTCTTATTACGGATGAATTAAACCTACTTATAGCAGGGCTGGCGTCTGTCATAAAGCTGTCCTAACTGAAATGTTACTTAAATGAATGAAATTTGGAGCTACATTTTCTTATGTTCTTTAAAAATAGACAGTATTATAGCAATTTACCTGAACACATTGAGTAAATTTGCTGACTGTGGCTAAATCAAATATATTAGTTAAGTTAATTATTAAACAATTTCTGTCAATCAAAAGTTACGCACTTATTTAGTTTACAGAGAGGATATCTGTTATGTTCGGTAAATATCAGTTCGTCATATTTTATAAATGTTTTTAACAACTTAAACACTACATATATTGTAATCGTTTATCTTTAAAAATCAATCAAATGATCAATTAATTACTTAATTCAAATTTATTACAAATATGTGTAATATACATTTATAACATTTATCAGAATATCAATATATTATTTGAAAAATATTTAAAAAGTTTCTAAAGACTTTCCTTGTGTATGCTAGCTACAGGAATACATAGGCGGACTCGGGGGATGGCAGCTTAGCTCCCCCCCCCCCTTTTTCAAAGATAGCCATAATATAGGCATTGAACATTGGGGCGTGGATTTAGCCCCCCCCCCCCCACTTTTAACAGGAACGTTTCAGTGTAGGCAAAGATCGAAGGCTAAGTGGTACTGTTTGAAAAAAAAAATTGGTACTGAAGTTCGATCCTAACCCCCCCCCTCCCCCTAAATAGGATTTTTGGCTTTGAACGATGAACAATTTTCCAATTTATTTTATTTTATTTATTTATTTATTTATTTTTTTGCTTGTCAAGTTTATTTTCAGATTTGAAATTTCTTTCTCTTTCAATTACCCCCCCCCCTTTCAATTTGCTTCCGACGCCAAATATTTGCTAAATTTACTTTACGCCGATTAAAAAATTATTGGAATGAATATAACATAACTATATAACATGCATTTTTGCATTTTCCACGAAAACACTGAACATCCTATTACCTTGGTTATACAGGTGCTCGTTTCATGATCAATTTGACGTTTTTTTTTTCTGAAGCAATTACTTTACGTCTAGATTGACGTCATAGTATGGCATTCATGACGTTACAGATGTAACCGTATTCGGCGTCGAAAGGGTTAAGACTGCTTTTAACAAAATAATTGTTAAACCGAGACAAGTAATTATGATTGCACTTTCTCTGTTGGTCTTCGACTCTTAAACTTAGCACATTATTATGTAGATAATGGCTCTGCAAATTTTAATATAAATATAAATCCCCCTTCACTATATGTTTATTTGCTACACCAACTGTTTGTATCCTAGTTGTGTTCTACTGTATTATGCTTATTAACATGTTCCGTATGGGCCTTTACCAATTACTGTAGGCCAATGACGTCACTTGTACTCTTTCAACGTCATACTACTTGATTTGACGTCATTTAGTGCTCAAATATTTCGTCATTTGATGCCATGTAGTCGGACCCATCATAAAGTCAACGGGTTCTTGGTGTCATCTCAACTAGACTATTTAACTGATTTGTTAGAAAGTATAAGGCCCAAAGAATGTGTAGAACATCTGTAATTAACTTGTCATAAACTATCTTTAGGTAAGGAAATGATCCGAGTTCTAATATTTTGGAAGTTCTGTAGATTTTTTACCTTGATGGGAAAGGGAAGTGTTCTTTCCTTCAATCGCATGATAATAAATCAACAGACTCGAAACAAAAATAAAACCATCCTCCCCTATCAGATGATTGTCCTAAAACACCAACATGAAATTGAAAATTTCACTCTTATTAGATACACAGCATAAATACCAATAAATCATCCACCATTCTTGTTTTAAAATATGTAAGTCCCCAATACTAGGGGGAATAATCGATAAACACAATGTCCTTTTGACTACGGAATTCATGTTTCGCCTACGGGTTTTTCAATTAGAAAATATGGATTTGTACGAGGGTTGTCCCAGAAATACGCGAACATTTTCAGTATCTTTTGTTTCACTAAAATTATAAAGTTAAAATTGGCATACTACATGATCATATTTTGAATAATGCATAAAAATTTCAATAAAATATCTATAAATAAGATTTCCCTCTCAGGTAAACGAATCTTACAAATCAGTTGTCGGTGCAACACTGACGATTTCAAAACGTAGCTCGTGACATTTGTGAATTTGTTCAGGAAATGTGCTCCAGAAAAAAATTCGTTTAAGTATAAATTTGGCACTGTATTTAATTTTCTTTATTTACCAAGTTACACATCTCAAATTCTAGTGTTACCAAAAGATTGCGGAATTTATTCTTTTAATAGACAATTTCTCCCGATAATAAACCCAACCGTTCGCATTGTTTAACAGCGGCCTTCATCTAGGCCTATGACGTCCAGCTCCTGACTTTCAGTTTATCTTCATTTTTGTTGGTCTACAAAACGCCTCTTCTATCGGATAACCATTAAGCCATCCTCAAACCTCTTCAACTAGGGATTAACCTGTGTCCGAGATTTATGTTTCTGTTTTTCCATCGTTAACATCTCTTTTATCGTATGAACAGGAAATCATATCCTGCTTAACACAGTACTGCTTAATAATTAGTGCTCCACATTATCTCCAAATTTCAACATTTTTGACAATATCTAATTAAAAGTGTTTTGGCATATAACGACATATATTTGTCATTAATGATGTCCAGTTAATGAATTTTTATACACGAGTACACCAGATCAAAGGGTATTTTTGGAGGTAAATTTTATAACATTATATTTCCGTAGAGCCTGGTATTGGAGAAAACTTCATTGACAATGCTACTTTTAAAAGTAAAAGAATTGCCATGCACCGACCACCGATATCTAATACCCTTTAAATGCGGTTTTTATATACTTATGACATCACAAGCCTAAAATATTTTGTCAAAATACCGAAAATATCATTTTCCAACAACGTGCAAAAAATTATTAGTTTTGTTCGAATAGTTTCTGAAATATTAAAAAAAATCGCGTTTTTCTGGGACAACCCTCGTACAGAAAAATATCAGCCGTACATCAGATTTAATCACGCTTTTTGTTAATAACGGTTAGATGTGTATGCTAGAAAGAGTAGTAATGAAGGAAACAAGAAATATAGTTAAAATGTATAGGACGAACTTGACTTTATGATGGAGAGTAAGCTGAAGACTCGTACAGGTTGGTAAAAGAGATTGACAGCGCTTTTAAAGAAATTAATATGTTTATTGAGGCAACCTTGAATTAGACAAATCCAGAATGTTGTGGGTTTTTCTTAGATATAGTATAAAGTAATATAGGTTCAAATTTATATTAAAAACTATGTTAAAACTCCAAACTTTTTAAAACATTCTATCAATGTCCTGTATGATTGATGAAAAGATATTTATTACAGTGTCATGAAATTAATAACAAACACAAATGAAATCCAATAATAATACATTAGCTAAATCTTGCATACAGTTATTTTATCGAGGTTATATTTCACATACAATTCGAAATAAAAATTATTACAGATACTTTGAGCGATCTAACAAAACTTTACCTCTGGCTGCTAGCATTTTGAAATTGCACATTTGCAATATAATAACTGTGACATTAACTTGCTAAAATGACCTTACTTTAAAAATGAAAAATTCAATTAAATAATCTCAAAGTGAAATATGGACATCCAATGATTCTCTATTAAATTTAAAAACTAAGAATTTAACCATTTTTCTGCCGCTGACCTTGACTCAATAACCTTGCGTCAGGGTGATGAATAACCCTCTGGTCATAGCAGTTAAATCTCCTCCTTTCGTTCTCCGTGCTACCTGGTAAACTACCTGTCTTATATATATTTTGAAAATGTAATGTTGGCACACTTCCTTAACAATGTCTCGGCCAAAATCAGGAGACGATTGAGTGTTTTCTTCTCAGCAATTCAGTTACTTTCATCAGTTCTGCAAGTACTCCTTCGTATATCTTCATTTATATTTCTTCCACCAACTCTGTAGTAGGCGACTGTTGGCGAAACTTTTTTAAGGAATAAAGCAAAGTCTGAGACGTGTGTGTATAACGACCTCACATTTGCATCTCTTTATGCCGTATGAACACTCTGTTCACGGTAGCTCAGTCTGTAAAGCGCTCGCTCTGCGATCAGGAGGTCGTGAGTTCAAATTTCGGCCGCAACTGACTTAAGTCGATAAAAATGTGAAGCAACTGTTCCTTCGCCTTGCGCTCGGCACTTTGAAGTGAAAGTTGCAGGTCCTTCGAATGAAACCTTAAAAACTGAGGCACCTTGTCACCGCACACGATAAAAATCCTTCACTGCTCAATGGCCCTGAGCACCGAGTAAAGGTCGAAGTTTGAAATCATACACCGGTATTGGTGACGTCTCTATATGAGTGAAAAATTCTCGAATGGTACGTAAAACAACAAACAATCAATCAATCCCGTATGAACAGAAGCCATAAAGTTTTCTTTATTTCATACTGTTAGAATGAAAAGGGTGAAGATAACGAACCGTGATCGACCTCAGAGACTTTTAAACTATGAGGTCTGTGAAGAGGGCAATCACGGACTCTTGGAAATTCCAGAGGTGGGAACAGGTGCCTAGGGGTAGTAAGCAGATATATTTAAAAGACAGTTTTTAGGAAGGCTGCAAAAGTGAAGTGAAGTAAATCAGAAGATTTCAAAAGTTGTAAAATTACACCTGACGCTTCTCAGTACTGTCCAAGGGTTGTAAAATTACACCTGACGCTTCTCAGTACTGTCAAAGGGTTGTAAAATTACACCTGACGCTTCTCAGTACTGTCCAAGGGTTGTAAAATTACACCTGACGCTTCTCAGTACTGTCCAAGGGTTGTAAAATTACACCTGACGCTTCTCAGTACTGTCAAAG